GTACTTTCCGGAGTGCTATTGTACGGCGTTCTTCTTACTCTTCCTCTTCTTTCTTGTTCGACGGCCCGGCCTAGGAGGTTTCCTCATATGGTTCGGGGTCCAGTACTTACGCGGGTTGAGAAGGGACGGGATTGGGTTGCCGCCACCATCTTTTCGCGTCTGAGCCACCGGTTCTCCATCGGCATTCCTGCTGACCGATGCCACTAGCTCCTCTTCGGCAGGGAGTTCTTCGCGCGTCACGACACTCACCTGCTTACCTGCGGAGCCCACTGGTGTCTTCGACACGGCAGCATCGGCTTTGGTCTTCCTAGGAAAGTAGGCGCTGCTACCTCCCCTCTGTGGACCAATTCTAGCCCAACAGCTTGTTTCCGAATGACCAAAATTTCCGCAACGAGGGCATTTCGTGCCCCTATGCGGATTCGCATAGCATCTATTAGCGCCATGACCCGGGCGCTGGCAATATGGACAGTTACGATCGTGGACGGGGCGGAAGGCTGTTGCCTCATAGCTCGACTGGTTACTCTTGATCATGATGGAAAGGTCGGCCAGCTGATTCGTTAAAGCGTCAACCTTCGTTTCGAGTGGAGAGGAGGGAGCGTTTGACCTCATCATGACTTTTTCGATCCAACTTGACCTCTCGAATCGTACATATCTTGCGATCTCTCCAACGCGTGGTAGCGCGAATTACTCAGGGAGTTCGCCGTGGCTTGAATGGCGCAGCGACCTGACCAGAAGACCATTATCGCATCGCATAGGTCCTTGTAGGTCTTTGCACCCCGATAGATGGCACATTCGGCCAACTTGAGATGTTCCATCACGGCGTTGAGAAGTAATCCGAACTTCGCTTCGTCGTTGAATCCCGCCTACCGCTACCGCCGGTCTGCGTTTCAAAGGGACCCACTGAAGTCCCTGAAGGAAAGGCGAGCAGCCATGGCATCCCGAATCACATCTTCAGGTGATTCGACCGGGGCGAACCGCTCGACCAAGGCCTTCTTCACCTTCTCGTAGTCGGAGCCATCTTCGCTGATGTCTCCATACTTAACAAATGTCTGATAAAAGAAGTGGAATGCATCTCCCTCCTGGTAGCAAAGGAGTTCAGATGCCCTTTCTTCTTCGGACTTGTCAGAGGTGGCAACATTTTCGAACACGAAGAAGAACTTGTGGACGTCGGCCGGCTTCGACCCGTCGAACTGTGACAGAGAGCCGTCTTCTTTGTCACCGTCCACAAGAGTACCATGCTGTATGCTTAGGGGAAGGAGAGATGGGAAGGTGGTGTAAGGTGAGGGTTAGGGGAGGAGGATTGGAAATTGTGTAAGGTGAGGGTTCGTAGTGTAGTGCCTCCCTTTATTCATCTCTGCGCGCGCGCTCATATACTACCGCCAGCGCAGCTTCCACTCCGAGGTACAACTACAAGTGCACCACTCCCTCTTTCGGACAATGAGACATTGTATCGGACATCGCTAATATTATCAAAATTTAGCATTAGAACCTCCGGACCACCTACACGCAACTGTTTTGCATGCAGAAGCCATAAATATATCGGAAACGTCTGCTCCATTTTAAAAACAGATCATTTCATTGAACCTGCCGCGGAAATTTCCATCGAAACCCAAACCCTTGGTGTTCCAAAATGCAAAGCGACCAAAGTCGCGCCCATTACACTGATCCATGGCCTCACATTCACTATTTTCATCTCCTTCCCTATTCTATTCGTCATGACCAAGCGCGTTGATGCACTTAAGCGTATGCACGCTTTACTGTTGAAAGCCTTTGCCGCATTTGAAGCGGGAGCAACTGTGCGCCACGCAGCGAAAATTGCGAAGATCCCACTCTCCATGTTCTATTACAAACTGCAAAACAAAGAAAAAATCATGGAGTCGTCTACCGGAGAGCCTTCTGTTCAGAGGACGATGCTCTCTCGTGAGGAAGAAGAACTCGTAGTACGCCTTCTAAAAGTCTACTCTGAGAAAGGCCATCCACTCCGTCGTTCTGACATCGTTGATGCCGTCTCTTTGATTGTAGAGAGGCTGCCTGAATCCCACCGAAACCGCATTTGTTTCAAGCAAGGCTGCCTGGGAACCAAGTTTATCAAGGGGATTTTGAAGAGACACGAAGGCGACATCAAGCTCGGCAGGCCATCACCACAACAGGAACAACGGTGGAGGGCTACGAATGGAGACGTTCTCACTACCCACCAGGCTACTCTGGAGGCCTTGATTCAAGAACACGGCATCGCCGCCAGCCACATTGCGAATTTAGACGAAACAGGAGTGTCACCGAACAGGGACGCGAAAGGGAAGATGGGCACGAAATTGGTTTTTAGAGCTGGGACAAGGAGTCATAAGCAGTCACGAAGGCTGCAATTTAAAAACGTACATAGGGTGACTCTCATGCCCGTTATATTCGCAAACGGGGACTGTAGACGCCCTATGGTGATCACACAAGGCACAACAGAGCCGTGGAGAATCATAGAGAGGAACAATAGAGATGAAATTGAATCACTGGCAGACTGCCTTCCCCGGGGGACTCTTGTGACTACGCGCAAAGATGTCGCAGGAGTGGATAAGTTCAATTTTGAACGCTGGGCGGAACGCTTTGTTACAGATATTGCCGGCAAAACGGCAAACGGGAGGACGGTGCTTTTAGTTTACGATAGATATCGAAGCCATCTAGGTGTCAAAGTGCTGGAAAAACTCAAGACCGGGAACGTTATCGCGTATTGTCTTCCTGCTCACACGAGCGGAACCACTCAGCCTCTGGATGTAGGACTTTTTCGTCCGTTTAAAGAGTATCTTAACGAGATTGTGTATGCAGCGGGAGCGGTTCGTGAGGATGCGGTGTTTGATGTCTTTGATCTACTGTACATGATCAAAGATGCATATGAGAAGGCATTTACAAGAGTCAACATTGTTTCTAGTTTTAAAAATGCAGGTATCTGGCCGTTCTCGGGGGATGTCATACTGAGCGTCCCGAGACCTCGCTCCGCAGAGACGCCTTCTGAAATAATGAGTGTAGAGAAGTTGCAGTTGCTTTTCGAAGCGAAGCCGGCTGCAAAAGAGGCTGGTCAATGCCTGCAGCCCGTTGTCCTCAAACGAGGATATTTCGACACCTCAAAAGGTCTGACACTAACGAGCACGGAGGCGATGGCCCTGATTCAGGCTTAGTGCAGGATGGAGAGAGCGAGATTTATTGCACGCCAAGCGAAAGAGGCGGCTGCATGTGCGAGGAAAAGACTCGAGAGGGCGGCGCAGACTGCAGCTCGTGTCGAGTTTAATAATAGGGCCCTGGCGTTGCGTATGCTCTGGTATGGGTACCTCCTGTGCCACCCCGCTCGCTGGCTCTTCGTTGCTCAATCGCAAAAAAGCCTGCAAGCGAGCATCAAGTGGCACGACTTGAGGAGTGAGGTGTTCGAGTAATGGTGTCTTCTTGACATACAGTATACATTTTAGAATATATGTTTGATGCACGTTTCGGTCTGCAATTTAATGGTGTCCAAAATGGGGGTGCAAATTATGGATTAGAAACTTGTGTGTTGACTGCATTTCTTTTTAACGTGCAGCCAAAAAGATCAAAAGGCATGTGTTTTCCACGTGCATGAACGTACTGCTCGTTGTTTAAACCTTCTTACAGACGTGAAAAGAAGCTCGGGCGACATTGCAAAGTCATATTCTTTTTAATGTTTGAATTTTGTCCAGAACAGGGGGTGGTGCACTTGTACCCGTCGTGCGGAGATTTTCTACGTGTACACGTGGTGGACATTCCGGCCAATGGGCGGCCACTCAAAGATTCTACTTGGGGTTCGTCCCGGGGTTCGTCCTGCGGTTTGCCCTAGGACATCTTCTAGGTTTCTCTCAGTACAGTACCAATTTCCTGTGACAAATCCCTGCGGACTCTAGTGTATAGGTGACAAATGACCTCATATGAGGTCACTTTTCAACTTATTTTTTCTCTACTTGCGCTAGCTCACAAGATGGAAAAAGATACTCTCGCCACCGCAGTTGACTTCTGCGTTGCAGAAGGGCGGAGTTTAGTGAGATCTGAACGTCTTTTCCAGCCGTTTTTAAAATGCCCAAAAAAGAGCCTTTTTAACCAACCTCAAAACGTTTTATGTTGATTTCTGCGAAACCAAAACGCCTGTTTAAAAAGCCACCTCATCATTGAAACTTCATTGGATTCTTAGTCTCTCTGTGCATTGGACACTGCCATCCCAATGTTTTGCAAGATGTTAATGCCGAGGGCAAATACGTTAAAGAAATGATGTCCAAACTGACTTTTTAAAGTTTCGATTTAATTTATATTTTTTTTGCAAAAAAATGGCCGCATATGAGGTCAAATCGCCTGTCGTCTAGACACTAGGCATGAGAGGGAGGGTCGGAAACAACAGCAGACTTTAATAACGGGGTTTAGACGGGCATTGGTTCACCCAACTGATCACTGTCGCCCCAGAGTAGTGCCATTTATCTAGTATTCGCACACGGCGGCACTAATACCTAGTGTCCACTGTGCGTAGTGGAGAAATCGATACTGTAAATATAGTGATGGGAGTGAAGAGAATTCCCTGCTCTGTAATTAATCACCTCATCATTACAGTATTGGAGTTCAATACTGTATTGTAAATCGTACGGCACTGGAGCAAGCGAAAAGTGTAAACTACAAGACCCTCGGTAAAGAGGTACAGTGCGCACTGAAAGTATAAAGACACCATTGAAACCTTGACCTTACACAAAAATACGAAAGATATGATCATGAAAAGCAGCTCAAACGAAAGGGAAGAGAAAGAGTGTACAGAAGCTGCAATCGTTTTTAGAGTATGATACTTGTACGGTAACTTATCTTTAAAAAACTAAATACCACGGCACTGTAATTATAAGGACAATACACGATTACCGATAACGTAGCAGAGTAAACCATTTTTCGCGCAACCAAAACGCTACAGTACTATCTTCTCGAACATGGCCGGCCATCCCCGCCAATCGATGCCCACCATCTAGCTATTCAACATGCCGAAAGGGAAGCAATTAACAGACGTGGAAAAAGGTCAAATTCTCGTTCTCCACAACGGATGTTTGTCTGTCCGAGAGATCGCAGAGTCCATCAACAGGTCGAAGACCGTCGTGCACAACTTTATGAAGAATCCGCAGGCATATGGATCTAAAAAGAGGAGTGGAATGCCTCCTAAGCTAACGCCCGGTTTAAAGCGCAGGGTAATAAGGGAGGCTTCTAAAAGAGAAAAGTCTGCCAATCAGATCCGCAAGGCACTCGATTTACCGGTCCACCGGTCGCACGTACAAGCTCTTTCGAGGAAAGATACTAATCTAAATATAAAGTACACCAAGTTTATAAGTGCTCTAGTCCTCACTCCGATGCATATGCAACAAAGGCTAGATTGGGCTAAAAATCATGTTACTTGGGATGATGAGAAATGGAACAAAATTATTTTTTCTGACGAGAAGAAGTTCAATTTGGATGGCCCCGATGGTTGTCATTACTATTGGCATGAATTAAGAAAGGAGAAAAAAGTTTTAAGCAGACGTCACCAAGGATGTGATTCTTTAATGATTTGGTCTTGCTTCTCTTACTACGGACGGAAAAATTTAGTAATAATGTATGGGAAACAGGATTCTGCAAAGTACTGTGAAATACTTAAGGACGATTTGCTACCGTTTGCGGGAGAGACGCATGGTGAGAATTGGACATATCAGCAAGATAACGCCTCTATAAATCGTTCTTTTTATACCAAGAAATGGTTTACGGACAATGGCGTTGCTGTTTTACCGTGGCCTTCGCGTTCACCAGACCTCAATCCCATCGAAAATCTATGGCGGATCTTAGCGAGGAGTGTGTATGGAAATGAGAGGCAGTATCAGGATTCTGTAGAGCTGTTTGAGGCTAGTGTCGATTGCTGGCAGAATTTCGACCACAGTATTCTTGAGAATCTCGTTGGATTGATGCAGATGCAGAGGCGTTGCATTGCTGTTTTGCAGAAGAATGGCGACCGCACGTCTTATTGAGATCGAAATAAAGAAGGGTTTTGATTGCACTTTTTGTTTGTCCTTATAATTACAGTGCGGTTGTATTCAGTTTTTAGAGATAAGTCACTGTACAAGTACCAAACTATAAAAACGATTACAGTTTCTGTACACGCTTTCTCTTCCCTTTCGTTTGAGCTGCTTTTCATGATCATATCTTTCGTAATTTTGTGTAAGGTCAAGGTTTCAATAAGTCTTGAGAGCAGTCACAGTCCACCGCATCATAGATGATGTGGCCAGCGGAATACACACTATCTACAAAATGATGCTTTCAGACCGATTTGATTGAAATGGCGTCACATTTACGGCATATCCTCATAAATCATCACTAACTGCCGAGGTCGGCCTCGACAACAGTGATCCTTTTAGTTCCTGTGATATGCAACTGACACGCATTTACTCCGCTTCCTCGTCAGTCATAGCACCTGCCCCCTGCAACAAAGACCTGCATGGCAACCTTTGCTCAATTCGCGCACGACGACGAACCCTGTAGCGCTCTTGTACACGGCGACGTTTTACAGCCGTACTTTCCATAACGTGCAAGCGCTTGTTGATAATTTGCCTCCTCTTGTTACCATCTTCATCTCTCAGCGGATGTAGGAGCACATGTGCATTAGTTCAGGCCATAGTAAATTGAAAAAACGTATTGTAGTTCGACTCAGCCCACCTCCACTTGTTAGCCATCAATACCCTAAGCGTACACTGTCGACCGAAGAAGTTTTCGACAATAATGCGATCCGAGGAAATTTGTTTGTTAGCGTTTATCTCTGCTCGTGTCAAATCTCGCCCCTTCGGCTTCTTGACAGGAAGATTGCTCGCACGTCTCGGGCAGCTCCCTGGTAGCCCTTATCCATAAATACTGCCCAATATCTCGGGAAACGCTCTATCAACGGACCAACGTCAATGACATTACACTCTTCCGAAGATTTTCGGAGTTCCTCTCTGTGCCATCTGATGTTATCATAAAATATGTCAACGTCTGCAACGGATCCCATGAAATGTCTACTCGCCCCAATTGCTACGCCATTCGGTAACACACTCACCTCGGTCTTGTATCCGTACATCTTGTGCTTCCCACTAAAATGTCCCTTTGCCTCCTCATGATTTCCGCGCGGACGGCTGCTCTGATGAAAGGTTACGTCCGTTGCGTACCTCGCCATGCCATATACTCGGAATTGCGATTGATCTGAGAATACACGTGCCATTTTGAACTTCTCCGCACCCCGTTTTACATATGCAGCGTAGGCAAGGGGTGTAACCATTCGGATGAAATTTGTGACCAGTCGTTCAATTGACGTGCTTTTCATGTTAAACATTTTCGCGGCGAAGTCCCACATCGTGCCGGTCTTGCACACGGTAAGTGCCATAAAGAGGACATCTTTAGCGTTGTACTTTGACCTTTTGCAGCGACCGACGTTGTAGTTCATGACGAGAAATGGACGTAGACCGTCATACAGTCCCCGATATTCTGCAAGTGTGAAATTTGTCATCTGCAAAACCGCGATCTCCCCTCCATCAGCCACAAAAGAATCCAGAATGGGACAGTCCGAGTCCGTTTCTTCGTCACTGTCAATGTCAGCGGGGTCTTCGTCATACTGGTTGAGTTCATTACTGCGTTCTGCAGGCAAATCTGCAAGGAGACAGAGAGCATCGCCTGGTGAGGTGTGTACAATATGGCTCATGGTGTGGTGTGGGATCTCGGGACTGTGTGAACACGAATATTCTACTGTACAGCATATGGGTTTTATGGTGAAACGGATTGGGCGGGTTCTGTGCCTTGATTTTTGAAAATGGGCAGGAAGAGAATCCAATCAAGCGCATTGTTGCATGCTGTCCAAGCCGTGATCATTGACAGTCTCAGCAGTATGTATCTATTTTCAGAATTTACAGCGCTGTCAACAGATTGCGGACAATATTATATGTTGGTCAATCTTTAATGTAATGATCCTTGTTCTCAGTAATTGATTAATAATTGTGGAGGTGCTTCGCGCTCCACAAGTACAGTAAGGGCACAACGGAGAACACATACAGTGCGTTACAAAAATATAGCCGTTTCGGAAAAAATGTCGTACTGTAGTCAGAAAAGTGTTCTTCAGAAAAAGACTAGCACATATTACTCCAAGACAAAGCGGAAACATTGTGGAGACGTTAAAACTAAAACGGCAGCATCTAGCTTGGGCAGACAAGCAATTGTTCGTATCCGTTAGTGACATAATTATAGCCTTTATACACTCCGTGCAAAATAAAAAGATATTTAAATGCGATAAAGGCCTCAACATAGTTTAACATTGGTCCTCACCACTCCCAGAGCAAGTTCCGACCTCACACCACCGGTTCACACAACCCAGCATGCCGAGAGAAACCAAATTAACGCTCGTTGAGCAAGGAAAAATCCTCGCGTTTAAGGAGGAAGGATTCATACCTACTGAAATAGCAAGGCGTCTGGGTCGATCCAGGAAGATCGTCGCTAACTTTTCAAGAGATCCCGAATCGTATGGGACTAAAAGAGTCCCGGAAGACCGTCAAAGTTACCACCGAGGGAAAAGGGGGATAAAAATGGAGATTTCTAAAGAACCTCAGAGCTGCGCCTCTGTTAAAGAAATCTCGATTTACAAGTATCACGCCAAACAATATGGCGTCAGGTTAGGAAACAGGGGACACACAAGTATCAGAAACGAAGTTCTGTCCCACTATTGACTGAGGCTCATAAAACTGCCCGTGTAAACTGTGCTGCCAATCATGCTTATTGGTCACAGGAATGGAACGATGTGATATTTTCTGATGAGAAAAAGTTCAATGTAGATGGGCCTGACGGGTTCCAGTACTATTGGAGGGATTTGAGGAAAGAAAAACAGCAATTTTTCTCACGACAGGCTGGCGGCGGATCCGTTATGATTTTGGGAGCATTTTCATCAAAAGGGATGTCCTCGTTGGCATTTTTAAACGGTATGCAGGATTCTGCTGCTTACTGTACTACTCTCGACAACTATTTGCTACCATTTGCGTACTGTTATCATGATGACTCACTCGTTTTTATGCAAGATGGGGCATCTATTCATAGATCCAATTTAACGCACTCGTGGTTAAATCAATTGGAAATTAATTTGCTACCGTGGCCCTCTCGCTCTCCGGATCTGAATCCGATTGAGAACGTTTGGGGCCACTTGGCACGTGCAGTGTACGCCAACGGGAGGCAGTTCACCTCACGTGACGCCCTGGTTGATGCCATACAGCAGTGCTGGAATGGAATCGCATTGCACTACTGTAATAGCCTAATTTCGTTAATGCCGAGTAGGTGTTTGAAGGCTATTGTGCGTAGTGGCGATTTGACAGGTTATTAAGTCTCCAGACGATAAACTGAGAAATTTCCCAAATACTCAGTCCTCTCCTAATTATACAATCAACCAGCGCGTATGCAACGGTACAGGTGAAACAGGCAAAAAGAGCAACCTAATTAAATGCCTCAAAAATCGCCACGTTCACGAAAAACACACATTTTCATGAATTACACCGTAAACTAAGAAATCATAACATTTTGCGCATTTGCAAGCCGTGCTGCCAGTATTGCGAGGTGACAATCACAACGCATCCACAAATGCAAGTAACTGCACACCTGTCAACATTTTATTAAAATTGTACTAAACGGTTCTCAGAAACCCAGCACACAGTCACTATCCTCGTCATCAGAGCCATTCATACGCCGAAACCGCATATCCATGCGCTGTTTACGGCGCTGTCTGCACCGCTCCTGTACGCGCTTCCTTTTCTGGACTGTATCTTCCCCAATACAGTACAGACGATTACGAACAGTCTCGAAAAACTGGTGATCAGAAGCCCGTAACGGATTCTTACGAACGTGCATATTTGTCAGCGCAAGACAGGTACGAAATATACAATCATACGAGCCCTCACTCCAGCGATACTTATTTGATACTACGGTCCATGGTTGTCCCATTCTCCCAAAATAGTTTTCCACAACAATACGATCGGATGAGACCTTGCGATTGTAGGTTGTATCCTCCAAAGACATGGCTCTGTTCGGCTGCTTCTTGCGCGGAACTACAGCACGCACATACTCAGATGCCCCCTGATACCCTTTGTCCATCAAAACGGCCCAGTGGTCAGGGTACTCATCCACTAAAATCCCAGGATCTGGCAGCTGCTTAGTCTCGTCCGATTTCTTCAGAGCTGCCTCGTGAAAATTAACGTTTCGATAAAATATTTCGACGTCAGCAGTAGAACCGCGGTAGTGTTTCGTGCAACCGATTGCCAGTCCGTTCCGCAAAAGGGACACCTCCACCTTCAGTCCGTACAGCTTATGCTGACTACTAAAATAAACTTTGCCTTCCTGCATGTTTCCAGATGGCCTGTTGCTTTGTTGGGACGTTACATCAGTCGCATAACGTGCATATTTAAAGTGACTGAAGAACACCTTGTTTTCTAACGCATCATCCATGGTATAAGCATCAGCAGTTTCCACAACGAACGAATTATACAAGTAGTCTGAAACGACGGGCATATAGCCCATGACCGTTTTCTCAAATGTAGATCCTCTGACCTTAAACATATTGCCTAAAAAGTCCCACTGTCCGCCATGCTTAAGAGTTGTCAGCATCATAAAGAGGACGTCTTTCCCAGTGTACTTTGATTTTCGGCCTCTCTCAACATTCCACGTGGCAGTCACATGATCTGATATTTCGAACCACAAAGCGTGGAACTCGCGGGGTGAAGAGTTTATCATATCTCTAATGGCTTTGGAGCCTCCAGAAGTATGAAAAGAATCAAAGATGGGGGAAGAGGAGTCAGCCTCATCATCAGACTCAGTGGGGGCATCGCCGTTAGAGTAGTCTCGTAGCTCAATTTGGCGCTTTAGCGCAGTGTCTGCCAGAATATTGAGCGCCTCGGCAGCGTCCTGAGGGGTGATGGGGGTCATAGTTGATGTGTCGGGATGGTTTTTTGGAAAGAGCGTGCCGATCTGAGCGTGCTGATCTGGAAGGGCATCGCGCTTTTTAATGTATTGACTATGACTGGCGGCACATGAGACCCGTGCTATGGTTTTTGCTGTGTTATTGTGTCATTTCGAATAACGGTTGGTCTTTTCAGTTACCGTTTGGTCTTTGCGCATTAACGGTTGATCGAGGAACGATGAGAACTTTTAATTGGCCGTGACGTCATTTTCGAAATATTTACGTTTTACATTTTGGTGGGGGCTTTGCGCATTGACACTGTGCTTTTGTATGACAGCCCTGTAATTGAATATTTTGGTATGTCTTTGTCGAAGTGATGACTGTTTTGAGAAAAAGTCTATTAGGGAGAAATTTGATATAGTTGGAATAAAAGCTATATTTTTGAAACATGTGTTTATCATGAAGTTTATATCCGGACTCGCAGATGGGCAGTATTCGTTCAGTATTGTATGCGAGAGGTTTCACATACATGTTAGATATTTATGACGATTGGAAACCGGGTGTAGTCAATTTTTGTATGACTTACGTAAAAATTCGAATTTCGGCTATCATTTTGGAACGCACTGTAATCACTGTGCAAATCGACCATGCCTACTAGAAAGGTCTAATTGTGTCCTTATACTTTCAGTGCGCACTGTACCCTTGGTACGGTATGCCCATCGTCACACACGCACAAGCAAGTGCGGAACATGTCACACTTGGCACCATTTCGACCATCGTCTCATCCGCACCCAGAACATACTGTCCGACACAGCCTCTCGCTCTGAAAGATGCTGACACTAAACCTTTTCACGAGCACTTCATCACGCTTGTTAACTGTCAGACCGCACAGGACAGTCTGTCTTTCAGGATAGACTTATAACTAGCGAGCGATGACGAGTAAACGAGGAGGCATCAGTCTTCTGTTCACACAGGTTATGGGCACCTTTTGCTACCTTGCATAATTCAACCTTCCCCGCTTCACGATCGCAACCCACCACGACAAGAACAAACCGATCCCTCCCAACCCGGAGGAGCCCCAGGCTAACCCCATCTCAGCCCCCCACATACATCCCTCCACCGACGAATCCTACGACATCAACACAAAACACGACAAACCAAACGAAAAACTACACAACAAACTACACGACAAATCACACTACATCTCACATCACAAACAACACTCACCAGGACATACGCACCATGGAAAAACGCCCCGACATCCCCCGCCTCGACCCGACTAACTACGGGCCGTGGATCGTGGCCACTCGAGCAGCAGCACACACGATCGACGCCATCGAGCACATCATCAGCAACCCCACTTCCCCACAAGACCCCACCGATCTAGCAACATTCAACCGCAACAAGAACTACCTACTCGGCAAGCTGATCACGTCCATACCAGCCCACATAGCCAACCTCATACTCACCCCCACAAGCGATCCAACTTCTTACTATCTCATACAGGCAGTCACTTCTCACCTGGACACAACCAACGCTTCAGACCACAAATACCTAAAGCAGCTAGCCGAGCAGACACACTTTCTGCCCGGTATGACTCTTGATCAGTACATCAAGGCCCATGAGCAGATCAGAACCAGAATGATCGCAGCACGGTTCCCAGCAATAGCCGACCCCAAAACAACAGTAGAGTTCCTCATCGACGGCCTGCGGTCCAACCCCGCCACGGCCGCGATTGGCAGCCAACTCATTGCCCTGGACCCCAACGACACAAAAGACTTTGTGCACAAGTTCAATCGAATGGACCCGTACCGGCAAGCGTCACAACCACGCACCTCTCAAATACACGGCGACGCCGGAGGCTCAAATTTTTTCAGAAATCCAGCCTCGGCCCCTCAATGCTACAACCGTTTCCACCGCCGGAACCTCCCCGTACCATCCAATCCATGCAGATTCCACATGTCACGAGGCGTCTCCCACCCCCGGCACACCGACGCCGAGTGCAATCACGCAGCACACCCCCGCCATCGTACCCGTCAACCCGTACGCACCAAGCCGTACCAGACGGCACGGGGCGCTCAACGTCAAGACGATTACACAAACGACTCGGATATGGAGCTGGACGACACAACCGATCACAGCCTGCACCAGGACTACTGTACGTACATCCTCGACTCGGGCGCCCACCCAACACACATGGCCAACCTCGCCTCCATACAGACACCACAACCCATACAGCACAAAGCAAAAGCCGCAACTAACCAAATCGTTAAATGCACGCACGCCGGACAGACGACGATCAAGACGAATAAGGGACATGCACTCAAGATCCCCGCTGTTGTATCCCCAAACATAACAAGCAACCTCCCCTCGGTGCGATCCATCACCAAGACCAGAGGCAACGTCCTCTTCACGCCCAACGCTGCATACATACTCGACAAGCGCTCCCGTGAAACTATCCTAGGCACAGCCCCATGGGACCCACCCATCAACGCGTATGCATGGAAGAGAACAAAGAACGCACAGGCAAGGGGCGCACGCACGATCCCCGCCCCGAAACACAGATCCAAAACACCCACGCCGTCGTCAAAACACAGTTCACAAACCCCTTCAAAAACCCTGCCAATCTGCGCCTCATCGCCACTCGAGCCCCTCCTCCCACTACCACAAAAAGAAAATCCATTACACCATTACCTGTAAGCTCAATACCAGCACCCCCCATCCCACCGATCCCCTGTAAAGCCACAGACAAGATCTTACAACACTGGCATTTAAAGCTCAACCATGCCCCCCTACGCAAAATACAAGACATCGCCAAATCGAGGAAGCTACACGGCCTTCCACCCGCTCTCGCCGCCACCCAAAACCGACTGTCATGCTCCGCATGTGCACACGCGAAGCAACGACCGGCACGCCATTCTCCCACTCAACACCACTATGACACGGGCGACTATATAAGTTCTGACACATGCGGCCCTATCCATCCTCCATCCAACCACGGCAACCACCATTTCCTAACGTACATAGATGCGGCTTCCAGATACGTCATGCTGTATTTTCTCAAATCCCGAAGCGAAGTAGGAATCATCATGCCGCAATTCTTCGCGCTGCTGAAGCAACGCAACCGCCTTCCTCGAACCTACCGCACTGACAACGCACGCGAATTTAAATCCAACCACGCGCTGCACACCTACGCCTCCCTCGGTATCAAGTACGAGAATAATACCCCGCATCAGCCTCAGGAAAATTCTATTGCCGAGAGAATTAATCAAACTCTCATGAACGCCGCCAGAGCCAATCTCCACCACGCCAACCTACCGGACGCCTATTGGGAGGACGCAGTACGCGATGCGGCTTATAAATACAACATCATACCTCATCGGGCCACCGGACAAGCCCCATACACACTATGGCACAAACAGAAAGCACAGCCG